CGTCCACCGATGAGAATGACGACCACGGCGCTCTGTCACCAGGTGTGGGGTTATGAGCCACACGGACACAGAACAGCGCCTGGCACAGAGGAAGTGCGATGGCTCTGCTGGGGACGGGGAGAGGCAAGCTTTCCTGAGAAGAGCAGATAGCACCTGTCTTCAGCTTGGCTGCTGTGTGACCTGTGCTGTGACAGCCACAGCCCATCCTGCCTTCGATAAGCAATTGCATTTAAACACAGATGGAGGGCCAGCCTGTGGGTTGGGGCTCTCCGGGAGTGAGGGCAGTGGCGATGGGGGCGGGAGGAGGGAGCGCACTTGGGCGCTTCTTGGGAGCGCAGATCCACTGGTCCACGTCCAGCCCGCTGGATCGGAGCTCGGGGTGGCCCCGGTGTCTGTTTAACACACTCCGGTGGCAGGTCATCAGTGGGGGGACAAGCCCAGATGGGACCCTGTGTCCCACGCCACACTGGCCTGCACGGGAAGGCACTAGGCACTGGGGAGGAAGGAGAGGAGGACGCCAGAGGCTGGAACAGAGCCCAAGACCACCCAGCGCTGAAGCAAACCCCAAAGGTCACTTCTGTCTTGGAAACTTTCTCTCTTGGCCTTTCCTGTCATTTCAAGACTCCTCCTCCACTGAAGCACCTCGTTGGCTCCCCAGTCCCCACTGAACCCCCGAAGGCGGGCGTTGCAGTGCCTGACCCACCTGGGCCCCCGGCACTCTTGCAGGCATCCCGGCTGGGGCCAGGGGCCCCCCTCTGCACACCTGCTCTCCTCCCCCTTCTTCCTCCCTCCTGTCTGGTTCTGGGTCCCAGCCCAGAGGCAGCCTCTCGGCCCGGAGGGGCCTCTCCAGAAAGGTCTTGCCCTCCTTCACCGGGGAAGCCCCTGTGGTTGGGGGGACGGTCTCCTGTCTTCCTTCTCCCCTTAGGTCGTGTTGTTTTTCTCCAAGAACTAGCAGCTGGTCTCCGGCGCGGGCCCCACGGGTCAGCCTTGCTGCTGGTACACGAAGGAGGGGGGCAGGTGGGAGTGGCTGAGCTCGAGAGAGCCTGGGTCCAGGCCGAGCGCAAGCCGGGCAGGGGGCTGCAAGCCTTAGGGCGGTTTCGGGAAGGCGCCTTCTTCTACCTGTAGAGTGAGGGTGGGGGTCTGCCTCTCAGGATGCTGAGAGGAAGTACAGGAAGCTCTCAGCAGAACCTGGGAACACGGAGGTGGGGCAGGGGTCAGGGCCAAGTGCCAGGCCAGCCCAGCAAGGCTGCCGAAGCGGGGGCAGGGCAGGCGGTCAGGAGTGGAGAGCAGGGCACCCAGAGGCTGGCTAAGCTTGGGGTGAAGCCGAGGTGGAGCTGGGGAGGAACACTGCCCTAATCTGGGCGTGGCACCGTCCAGCAGGGGGCGACCCACTGAAGGTCACATGGGTAGGAGGTGGGGCCGAGCTGTCAGAGCTGAGCTGCAAGCTGGCTGACCCTGGACTGTGTGCTGCGTGGGTGTCAGGGAGACCTAATCCTTTCCGCATTTTAGCAACGATCAAACTTCCTAGTTACAAAGGCTGCACCACCCAGGGAGGGAAAAGAGAGAGGCTCGAGGGGTGTGGACACTGTGCACTGTGGGGATATCTCTGGGCAACGGGATTAAAGGGATTTTAACTTCAGAACTAGATTTCTATATTTCCCAAATTGTCTATGCTAGCCACGTATTAATTTTGTAATCAGAAAAGGGCGTTACTGTAAATCAAGTTAATGAGGCCACAAACCACAAACCTACGGACCCACCCCCATCCGCTGGCTCTGTCTCCAGATGGGGGAGGGCTACAAGGAGGAAAAGGAACAGAGCTGGCAGGAGGGCGCCAGGCTGCGGGGCTCTCCGGAGTGCCACGGGCCAGGGCCACCGCGTCTCTTAGCCCGCGGAGTCAAGTGGAAATCGCGACCCGGGTAACCTCCTGCCCGGACTCATCCTCTCGCCCCTCCCTCACCACTTCCTCCCGATCACCCCCCCTCCCCCGCGACCACACTGAGGACGCATTATTTTACCCCAAGAGTTTCCCAGTGCGGCAACTGCACAACCCCAAATAGTTTGCCAGACCTTCCTGTCGCATTGCTGGGCGCTGACGGGCGGTACCCGCTAACCCCGTGGTCGCCGCGCGCAGAGGCGCACAGGTTGGGCCCGGGCCGCGCTGTCCCAGAGCCAAGAGGAAGGCACGCGTGCCCGATTCCCAGAAATTCCTCCTGTTTGGGGGATGCTCAGACGACAAACGGCCCCGCAGAGACCCAAACCGATCATTTTTAACCCCAACGCCGGCCTCACTCTCCCAATCCGTAGCCGGTGGACGGAACCCACTCGACCGCGAGGCTGGGGCAGGCCCCAGCCGCACGCCCTGGAGTCTAGCGCCTCCATCCCGGAGCCGCTTCCTTAGGGATCCTCGGGGCGCGCCCTTAGAAGCGCAGAGGGTGGGGAGCCGCCTCCGCCCCCATCGCCCCGGGGCAGCAGGGCGGGGCAGGAAGGTCCTTTTGCCCCTGCCCGGCTCACACGCCCCAAGGCCCGCGCGCCGAACCTCCGCCTGCCGCGGGACACCCTGCCTGGTGCTGACGCTGACACCCCGACGGCCCGCCCCGGAGCCGCCAGACTGCCGGGTTTGCTTCCCTACGACTTGCTGCCACTGGAATCTGAGCACCGGCTGCCCGCAGGGGCTTCCTGGTGCTTTACCTGACAGTCCTCAAAGAACCCCTGCGGCAACCCAGTGTAGAGATGGGGAAACAGAGGCTCCTACCTTGCCCAAGTCACCTCCAAGCCTGGCCAGCTCGCTGGGGGCGCGTGAACCGGGCCTCCTCTCCAGGGAGAGGCCCCGGGGGCTCCCGAGACCTAGACTCAGGCCCGGCAGGGGCTGAGGGGAGAGGAGTGTGGCCAGGGAGGGGGCTGATAGGACGCCTTCCTGGGGCTGAGGAGGGCTAAGGAAGGCTTATCCGGGGCCAGGTTCACCGGGCTGGGCGCTGTACGCGGGAGGCTGCTGCAGCCCCAGGACCACCCCAGGAAGGAAGTCCTGACAGTGGGCACATGGAGATGCGTGGGGTCAGGGCATTGGCCCAGGGTTAGTCAGGGCTGGGATGCAGTGGGCCCTGGGGCTCCACGTCCCAGCCCGGTCACTGGCCAGGGCGGCGCCCACGCCGCAAGGAGCCGCGGGCGCTGGGAGGAGCAGCGGGTCAGAACCGGGGGTCTGCAGCCCCTCTGTTCGCAGGTGCTGTGCGCTCTAACGCGCAGCCTGGTGGGGTTTGGGAAACCCGAGAGCAGAGAGCGGGGGCGTCATCCGGAAGTCCTTGCGGAGGGCCCCGAAGGGCCGGGTGGACTGGGATGGGCGGCTGGGTGTTTGCCTCGAGGCTCCCCCGGAAGCCATCCTTCCACGACTTCCTGGGACCACCGCACCCGCGAGGAGGTCCACGCCCTGCGGAGGCTGAAGGCGCTCGGGGTCCGGGGAAGGGCCCGCGCTGGCATCCCCAGCACGCCCGCGCCTGCGCCCGCGGCGCCCAGCTCCTCCAGAGAAAGCCACGCGGGCCGCGGGCGCCCTCCCGCGACAGAAGAATTAACTCGCGCCTCCAGCACGGGGGGCGTGGCCTGTCCAGAGACCACCAAGGCCGCGAGGTCCCGCAGGGAGGCGGACGGCACATGGGACAGAGGAGACACGACTGAGCGCTGGGAAGGACAGAGCGGCTGAGGGAGGGGTCCTCCCCTGGAGGTCAAAGCCAGGGGTAGCCTTTCCAGGGCGATCATGGCCGTGGCCCCTCTGGGGAGGTAAGGGGAGGTAAGGGCCTCCAGTGAGGAGGCCAGGGCAGGAGCCCAGGTGGGGCTGGAATTTGGAGGGAGTGATAAAGGGGCTCTTGGGTTGGATGTGACAGGGAGAGGGGACGCTAGCCAAGGTGACGCCTCGGTTTGGGGCTTGGGCGGCTGTGTGAGTGCCCGTGCCATTTCTTCTGAAGGGGAATATACTGCCCGGGTAGTGGGGGCAGGTTGGGATGGGAACCAAGAATTCCACTTTAAGATTCCCTCAATTTCAGGTGGAGACCCAGAGAGAGGTCGGGGCTGCAGATGAAAGTGTCAGGGTAGCAGGGTGTGGCCTGGTCACGCAGAGGGATGAAGGGAAAGAGAGGGAACGGGCCCCAGGATTTAAAAAACTCATAACAGATCCATTTTGCAGCAGTTGGACGTTCTTTTCCTTCTATCGAGAAAGCATGGGCTGTACAGAAAATGCAAAAAGCAGACCCTGAAATGGAGGCCGCCCAGCAGGCCTTTGGCTGCATGCACCCTGGCAGCACGTGTACCCGGCAGTCATTACCTCTGTGTTCTCCTTAGGTCTGGCGGAACCAGAGAATGACTCGTGACACCCCTTAAGGAAGTTGTAGGTGCCACCAGATGAGTGGGGACACGAGTGGGTGGTGGGCTTGGCCTTCTCCATGCTCCAGAAAGTCTCCCCAGAAGTTCCACTAGTCTGGGTCACAGCCAGGAAACAGGTTCTAGCCAAAGGAAGCTGGTCTGCCAGGCGCCGGTCAGACACCCAACCTGGCCCTGGGCAGGCAGTGGTGATAGCAGGGCCACTGACAGAGTCGGGGTGCCGAGTCTGAGAGCTGGCTTCTGGGGTTTCTTCCAGGGACATTTCTCTCTGGCCCCAGCCCAGATCCGTTCTGTGAAGTCGCCCCTATAAATCCTGGCCTGATGCCTCTGAGGTGTTTTAATAAGTATGGGGTTTCCTTTAGGGGTTCCCCAGTCCTCCGATTCTCTTCCTCCCCGCAGGGCGTTTTTGACAGGCACAAGCAAGCACACTCGTGTATTTCAACAAACTTGATCCCCTCCAGCGCTGTAACCATCATTCTCCAGATCACAGGGAGGCTGCGTGATTCCAGCAATTAGCCACACCTGCCCCGGGAGGCGGGGCGGAGCCAAAGGCGGGACGAGGAGCGCGATCCCGCCCCCACACCGCAGCCCCGCCCCTCTGCGGCCCCGCCTTACTCCTCTCTGGCGCTTCGCGGCCGGCGCGGGCAGGATGGCGGACTCCAGCCACAGCGGTTCTTGTTTCCACCGGGCCGCCAGAGCTAAGGACCGGCTTCCGGCAGCCTGTGCCGCGTGTGCTCTGCGGCTTCCGGCCGGTTGTGGGTCTCCGCCGCGGACATGGGGAAAGTGAGGGGCCTGCGGTCCCGGGTGCACAAGGCTGCCGTGAGGCCCACGGGGGAGGCCGCGCCCGGCCCCACGCCCCCCGCCCGGGAGGCGGCCTCTCTGCAGGCCTCGGCTGGCGGAGTCGGGGGGAAGGTAAGCTAGGGACACCGCGGGCCGTGGGAGTGGGGAAGGGCTGCGGGTGGGGGAAGGGGGCCGCGGGCCGGGGTCGGGGCTCCACACTTTGCGGCCTCGGGAGTCCCGGGCCGGCTCCAGCCCCGCGTGCTTTGTGGGCGCCCCTCTGTCGCCCCCGAAGGGTCCCTGCGACCCCAGGACCGCCCTGGGACTCGGCGGAGTTTACCGCGCGGCCAGCGGGCCTTCCTGGTCCGCGAAGTGTCGTGGTCTCCGTGGGCCCCGAGGCTCGGCTGCTCAAGTGCGCGACGGCCTGGGAGGCGTTGACTTGCTCCGCGTTTGGAGTTCTGCGAGGGAGGACCAGAAACCTCCCATCCCCACGTGTAGAAATGCTGCGCGAAAATGGCAAAAATTCCTGTGCATCGTAGCTGTGTTCCGAAGAAAGGAAAGGGAATTCCCAGGATTAACGAAAAACACGAAGAGCAAACTGAAGAGACGCTGTACCCTGTAGCAGTCCCCCCCGTCCCCCCATCTTACCTAGCCCTAAGCAACCACTGATCTTGCTGCCTCTGTTCGGTACATTTCCTGTGGATGGAGTCGTGGCCTTTGCATGTAGGCTGTGGCCTTTGCGTTTGGCTTCTTGTACTTAGCATAGCGTTTTCAGCGCTCTTGCAGGTTGTATGATGTATATCAGTACTTCATTCCTTTTTGTGGTGGAACAGTGTTCCACTGTTCGGTTAGACCATGTTTTGTTTATCCAGGTGCTGACCCTGGAGCTTCCTGGAAGCATTTACTGGTGTTTGTAACCAAGGGGCTAGCACCCGGACAGTGGACAAAATCTTGCTGGTTTGTGGGGACTGTGGCTTTGGATCAGTAATGCTCAAGAGAGCAGCCATGTTTGTTAAGCACGTGCTGTGTGCCAGGCACTTTACTTCTTCATAACGGCCCCAAGCCTCATTTTGTTGAAATGAGGAAAAAGCTGAGAGTTTCAATAAATTACCAAGGACATTCAGCTGCTCGTGGAGGAGCTGATGTTTGAACCCAGGATCTGGCATCAGTGCCCTGGTTTTCATGAAAACTTTATTGGGGTAGAATTCATGTCATAAAACTCACCCATTTAAAGTGTACAATTTAATGGGATTTTTTTTTTTTTAGTATATTCACAGATTTGCACAACCATCACTACAGACTTCAGAATATTTTTATCACCCTAAAAGGAAACCCCATACTTATTATCAGTCATTCTGGCAACTGTGAACCTGCTTTCTGTATATATATGCCTCTTCTGGATGTTTCATACAAATGGAATTATACGATATGTGGCCTTTTGTGTCAGGGTTCTTTCACTGGGCATGCTTTTGCAGTTCATCCTTATAGTACTATTTTTGTAGCATCCATTTCTTTGTTGTCTTTATTCTTTTCATGGCTGGAAAATATTCCATGGTATGGGTATACCAGACTATGTCACTTTTTATTTATCCATTCATAAGTTGGATAGTTAGGTTGTTTCAAATTTTTGGCTGTCATGATAATACTGCTGTGTACAGATTTTTCTGTGGATGCATGGAGTGGAATTGCTAGGATGTATGGAACTCTATGTTGAACTTTTTGAGGAATTGCCAGATTACTTTCCACAATGGCTGCACCATCTTAGAGTCCCACCAGCAATAAATGAGGGTTCCAATTTCTCCACATCCTCACCAACACTTGTTATCATCTGTCTTTTTGATTATAGCCATCCTGCTGGATGTGAGGTGATATTTCATTGTTTTGATTTGCATTTCCCAAAGGGCTAATGAATAATGTTGAGGATTTTTTTCATGGGCTTGTTGACTGCATATCTTTGGAGAAATGTCTATTCAAGTCCTTTGCGCATTTAAAAATTATGTTGATTGTCTTTTTGTTGAATTGTCAGAGTTCTTTATATATTCTAGATAGTAAACCCTTATCAGATATATATGGTTTGCACATGTTTTTTTCACTTCTGTGGGTTGCCTTTTTACTTTCTTGATATTGTCCTTGAAAGCACAAAGTTTTTAATTTTGATGAGGTCCAGTTTATCTTGTTTTCTTTTGTTGCTTGTGCTTTTGGTGTTGTGAAAAGTCAAGGTTTAGTTGAAAAGCTCAGGGGAGTCTGAGCAGAGTTTGGTCATGGAGAGACTTTTTGTCAGTGGATGTCCTTTGCTGGTTGACATAGGGCTCACGATGCACATCAGTATTTACATCTTAATTCAAGTGAAAGACGGAACCTTCACAACTGTTTAACTCCATTCCCTCTTATCCCCTTGTTGTGCTGTTATTGTTATGTATGCAAGCTGATATCATTTGCTTTCAACCTAAAAAACTTTATTAGGATTTCTTATAAGGCAGGTCTACTAGCAAGAGACTCTCTCAGCTTTAGTTTATCTGGGACTGTCTATTTTACCTTCATCTTCGAAGGATAGTTTTGCTGGATATAAAATTCTTGGTTGACTATAGTCTTTCACCACTTTTATGTTATCCCACTGCCTTCTGGCCTCCATTGCTTCTCATGAGAAGTCAGCTGTTAATCTTATTGGGGTTCCCTTGTATGTGATGAGTCATTTTTTGCTGCTTTCAAGATTTTCTCTTTGCCTTTAAACGTTTTGACTATGATGTGTCTTGGTGTAGATCTCTGTGCTTGTTCTGTTTGGAGTTTGTTTATCCTACTTGAAGTTCATTGAGTTTGGATGTATAGGTTAGGGTTTTCCATCAGCTTTGGCTAGTGTTCAGACATAATTTCTTCGAATACTTTTTCTGCCCTGTTCTGTCTCTCTTCTTCTGGTGCTTCCGTTACATGTACATAGGTTGGCACGCTGAATGGTGCTCTGAGGCTCTATTTGTTCTTCTGCAAGGCTGTTGTGTAAGGTTATTTCTATTCATTTTTTTCTGTGAAGCTCTGTTCTTTTTCCGTCTTTTCTTCATATGGTACAATTTCTATTGATCTTTCTTCATATTCACTGATTGTTTTCCTCTGCCAGCTTAGATTTACTTTTGAATCTCTGTAGTGAAATTCTTCGTTTTGATTAATGTACTTTTTTACTCCAGAATTTTATTTACTTATATATATATTATTAAAATATATATTATAAAAAACATATATATATTTTGTTACGGTATGCAGTAGGAGTTGAGAATCATTTTTTCCCTATATAAATATCATTTTGTTTCTACATAATTTATTGGAGTTCTCCATTAAATTATCTTGGAACTTTTGTCAAAAATCAATTGACCATATATGTGTGGGTCCATTTATGGACTCTAATATGTTCTGTTGATCTGTTTGTATATCCTTATGCCAATGCCACACTGAATTGATTGCTGTAATTTTATTTATTTTTTTCTGTTTTTAAAAAATTGAGGTATAGTTGATGTACAACGTTATATAAGTTACAGGTGTACAACATAGTGATTCGCAATTTTAAAGGTTATATTCCATTTATAGTTACTGTAAAACATTGGCTGTATTCCCTGTGTTGTGCAGTATATCCTGGTAGCATATTTAAGACTTCTATTTCGAATGGTTTCTGTCTCTTTACTGACGTTCTCTGTTTGGTGAGATGTTGTCAGCATACTTTCCTGTGGTTCTTTACACAGGGTCTCTTTTAGTCCTCAGCATATTTGCAGTGGCCGCTCTGAGGCTGTTGCCAGGTCCAACACGTGGGCCCCTCAGAAGCAGCTTCTGTTGCCTAGGTCTTGCTCCCCAGTTTCTTTGCACAGGCCCCGCTCTGTGGTGTTGAAAACCGGATGTCTTAGGCAGCGCGTGGTGGCGCTGCGGGGGCTTGGTGCTGTGTACCTGGTAGTTACTTGCTCACTGGCCTGGCTCCGGGCTGCCGTGTGACTCAGGGTCCGCTCTCTGCCAGTGCGCGGCCTCCCATCTCCCTGCTCCTGTTTCTTCTTGTCTTTATCTTTCAGCCTGGCAGCCTGGGTCAGCACAAGCCTCTTACTGGTCCGACTGTGCTTAAGCCCCCGTGGCCACAGAGATCTCTGCCCTTTACCACTGGATACGTGTGTGTGGCTGGGAGGCTGCTCTCATAGTTCAGGGAGCTGACGTTTTGACCCGCCTTCACAGGGACTAGTGGCTTTGCCGTTCTGTCTGGCCACTCCTGAGCCAGTGCAGCCTTCAGCTCACACCACCTCCAGCCTGCCATGGCGCCGCTTCCTGGAAGCTGCCCCCGGGCCAGGGCGGCCTGCTGCCCGGCCAGCTTCTGCTCAGAGGTTGTGCCTACGCCCCCGTGTTATTGATGCCCCTTCCAAGGCCCCTGCCTGGAGCTTGGACCCGAATGAGCCGGCCAGGCCTGGGAGACGGGGTCTGGGTTAGCACAGTGTGATGGGCAGGGTGACCTGGAGGATTTTGAAATCTTGATGTGGGATGAATGGGGCTGGGAAACAGTGAGATTGCTGAGATGGAACTGTGGCTGTGAAACGGGAGGGACAGTAGGAAGGTGGGAGGTTTGGGGGGAAACCTGGCTCCTCTCACAAGGGCTCCTGAGTGTTGAGGGTGTAATTCATAATCATTACTGATCCTGCATCTGGTCTCAAAGGGTCCCTCAACCAGGATGCAGGCCTGGGTGGTGAACTGAGGCTGCAGAAAGGATGTGGCTTGAGAGCTCTGGGGTCTGAGCTGGGGTGGCCTCGGGCTCCTCTCCAGCTCCCGCTCTGGAAAAGCCGGGGTCCGGCCCTCGCCGAGGGGTCTCTGAAGCCACTCTGAAGCAGGTCTTAGGTCTCCTCTGTTTCCATTTCAGGAGTGGGTCTTCATGAATGCCAGTGTGTTTGCCGGGACCACGATAGACCCCAGCGCCTTGGTGCAGAAGCTGGACGTGGACGCGAGGAGCAGCGCCTCCGTCAGGAGAGGTGAGAGCAGGCAGGACGGACCTCAGGGGTGGGCGCCAGGCCCGCTTCCACATGCTCGCGGGCACAGGTCAGAAAAGACTGCAGGTGCGCCTGTGCACTTCGAAGAGATTTGTTTTATTAGTGGAAAATTTTAAGGATGTACTAAGCAGAAGATGGTATAAGACAGTCCATGTGCCCATCCTCTGTTTTCAGCACACACAGTACTGGGTTATTTTGAAACAAACAGCATTTCCCTCAAGAATTCTTTAGTAAGTATTTTTAAGAGCTCTTAGAAGAAAAGACGTAAACACGCCTACAAGGCCATTATCACACCTAAACAGATCAGTGGTAATTCCTTATTTCAGATAAATGAAGTGAAAGAGTCTCCCATCTTCGTGCTTGCCTCAGTCAGAACCAGGTGGGAACAAGGGTGCGTGGCAGCCCCCGCTCCCCTTTTCCTTCACGTGCTTATCACGTGGGGGAGGTCTCTTTTCCTCCTGCACCTCCCCCACTTGGGGCTTTGTGGTGTTCCTAGCTCCAGCGTCCCGTCTGGGCTGCTCCTGAAGGAGAGGAGCGGCTCTCCTGCCCTGGGTGGCCACACCACCACCGCTTCCTGGAGAGAAGCTTCATGCCGCACACGTGAGCTGCACATCTACAGATGAGCCATTGAGAACAGAAGCGTCTGTAGCCCTGTGGGGAGCACCCTGGCCTCCGGGGCAGGGCTTCTAGGGTTTCCATCTAAGTTTGTAAACAGCTGTTGGGGTTGTAAGCTGTAGTTATCTCACAGGTATGGCTTACATCAGGCATCTCTCATGAGGTCATGTTGTTTGCATCACTGCTTTGGATTTTTTTTTATTTCACTGGGGAGATTATCGGAATCTCCTTGCCATTCCTTGTATGTTGAAGCTGTAGGGAGGGAAGCCTTCTCCCCTCTACCCTCCTAGGTTCTTGGCTAGGACCCTGCAAGTTAGACTAACAGAGAGAGATTAACAAGAGAAAAACAAACTACTACTGTGTGCAGGTCACATCACATGGGAGAAACCTCAGTGATACGAGTAACTCAAAGTGGAGGTGAGGACTTGGGGCTCTGTAGCATCTTAGCGAAGAGCAGTGATGCTGTGGGCTTCCGAGGGCAGACTTCGGGGGGGGGGGGTGGTAAATACATAGAGGAAGGTTCACGCAGGCCCATGTGCGCCGGCTCTGGTGTCCTCGTGGCCCTGAGACTTCCTCGGAAGAGGGGATGCGTGGTGGCCCTCATTTCGGAATTTTCTGGTTTTAGTCAGATAGGGCAGTTTTGGATGGCTTCTTTCTGCACCTGTGGATTCTGTTTGCCTCCAGCCCACAGTAATGCTGACATCCAGAGTGGTGTGTGTGGGTGCCGTATTCCCGGCCTCAGGCTCTCCTGCTGTTTCTGGGGATGATTCCGCAGAGCACGTTGCCGCTCTGGCTGCATGACCTGCCTGAGTGCTTTCCCATGGCGGGTGCCGCAGGGACTTGCCTTCGTTTGGGCGGGCAGGGTGTGCCTGGGGGGGCCGGAGCCATGGCCTCTCAGGTCCCTTTGGTGACCCACGTGATCAAACAGCTTTCTGTGTGTTCATTGGTCCTCTTACGGTTTGTGTACCGGGAGCTTTGATGGCTTTTCTGGCCAGCACCAGCATCCCTGGGGTCCTATCCCAGACTTGCAGAACCTTGTTTTCACACCCCCTCCAGGGGTCTCTGATGCTGCCAGGTTCAGGACACTGGCCCAGGGCCTAGTGGGTCCTGCCTCGCGGCTGCAGGAGCATAGAAGCCCCCATCTCCTCTCAGTCCTGAGCTGTGATGGGCCGTCATCCAGATCTCCTGATCAGCCCTTGCGGTCCTGATCTGCAGGACTGTCTCAGTGTGCGGCAGGCAGACCTCAGTTACCCCTGAGCCTTCGTAGTAAATCTGAGGGGTTTTACAGAATTCCAGGCCGCCTCCCACAGCATTGGCTGCCCGGAGAGCATGGCCAGCCAGAAAGAGCAGACGTCACTTCCCATCAGAGGGGGCACTTAAAATCTGGGTGGTGTGGCCTGAAAACCACAGGGTGTGGAGGGGGACAGGGAGAGGAGGAAGGAAGGGTTTATTTTCTTTTCTGAGGTGGTCTGTGGGCTGTGACCAGGAGAGAGAGCAGCTCAGGAAACGGCTCATCAAAGCCTGCAGAAAGCAGTCTCTCTGCAGCCAGAAAGGTGTTTTGTTTTGTTTTTATTAAGGATGTCAGAGTGTCATAATATACAGAAAATTAAAGAAAATTTACAGAAGGAGAGGGCCCGGGCTCTGGGGCGCAGAGCGCTGGCTGCTGTGAGCTCTGCGGCCTTGCAGCTGGCAGAGTCCCTGGGGACTGGAGGAAGTGGGTGGGCCATGGTGGTTGTGGGGCATGTGCTCCGGAGCCGCAGCTGGGGGCTTGGGCGGGGCACTTGGCTCTCTGGCCCCTGGCTGCTCACCTGTAACGGGGTGATACTGGTCCTTGCGTCCTCAGTGCCGCATGCTTTGGGGTTCAGATGAGTCAGTAAACGTGGAAAGTGAGGAACGGCACCTGGGCCTGGCTTCCGTAAGTGCCCGGTGATGCCGGAGGAGTAATCGGCCACGTGTCCCGTTGAGCGAGGCCCTCTGCTGGCTGAGGTGCCCTGGTTCCCGGTGGCAGGTGTCTTTCACCGCACCCACGCCTCCCTCTCCAGCTACGCTTGCGTTTTGGGGTTCCTCAGACCTGCCTCCTGATTGGCCAGTGCCCTGGATCTCTTGAGCTATGGGCCTTGTGGCTCCCCCGGGTTTGAGCTGGGACCGGTGGCCCGGGGCAGAGGCGGGTCATGTGGAAAGTGGCATCTGGTGACTCAGCTCTGCTCAGTGACCTGCTGGGCCGTGACGGCGAGGGCGCTGTCTGCCTGGATGAGCACGTCCTTGCCCTGGGCTGAGGCGCAAATAGCACTGCTCCCCGCGCCCCTGGCCACTGTGCCTGTGTGGTCCATGTGGTCCCAGAGGAGCCTGGTTGTGGGTCCCCCCCGCTCCCCGCCCCGGGGTGGACGCATGTCTGCTGGACTCCCCTCCCAGTGCAGACCGGCGCTCACACCCTGCCCTGCAGCCTGGACGCAGTGGGGCCTGGTCGACCCCTCGGGGGTGGGGGGCGGGAGGGTGGGGCTTGCTGGTGGCATCTCTTTAGCTTCCTCCGGGAGCCTTTGGGACCAGGTCTGCCCCCCAGTTTTCCTTCTGATTCCAGGCAGGGGCTCTGAGTTTCCTGTGGGGGGACCACTGGGCTCTGCAGTGATGGGCCTCCCCGCCCCCCACCAGCAGCAGAACTCAGCTTCGCCCTGAGGCTTGGGCCCGCGGCCCACGGATCTGCACCTGCAAGGGAGCAGCCTCAGCTCCTCCGCATCTGGACTGGAGGGCCGGTGGAGGGCGGGGCGGCCCCCGGGCTCCCGCGTCCTGCCCCGCACAGAGCACCGCCCTCCAGTTCTGTGTTCTCTGTGCTGTGGTGCTGCGGGAAACAAGCCCACTCCGTGCTCAGGTAAAGCACCTGCGCTGTTGCCAGTTGTTCGCCTGTACCCTGGGCTGGTCAGTCCTGGCCCCTGGACTCAAACGGGGACGTGAGTGGGTGGAGGACGGGCTTGGTTAGGGACACGGGAGCAGAAGGACAGGAGGGAGGACGTGGCGGTGGCAGCGCGTCTGCGGGGGCTCTGGGTGGAAGAGGTTGGGGAGGAGACCGTGGTGAGTGGACAAGCAGGCCTCGAGGCCCCAGTGGAGGGACTTGGCCTTGGGGTCACCCGCCTTCATGTCCTGTGGGCTGCGCTGCTGAGACGCCCCCTTCCCCCACCCAGGCAGAGCGCTCTGCCCTGACCTTCCCTTTCCCTGCGGCCTGAGCTTACCCCCGTTGGCCAACCGCTGCGGTTTCCTGCGGAACTCGGTTTCCTCCGAGGCAGGTGCTCAGCAGAGGGCAGCAGAGCTGCGTCCCTGCGTCTCCAGGCTGAGCCCAGACCTGGAGCGGGTCCTGCCTGGAGGAGGAGGGGAGGCTTGGGAGGGCTGACCTTGGGGTGCAGGCGGACCGAGCGCTTCCCAGAGGCTGTCCTTAGGGACTTCTGATGCAGCTCCCCATTGAGGGACTTGCCCCGCCTTTCAAGTCAGGTCTGTGACGCCAGGGCTGTGACCCCAGGGCTGTGACGCCAGGGCTATGGTGCCAGGGCTGTGATGCCAGGGCTGTGACAGAATAATCCACTTGGAGCTTTACTAAGCTTTACTCATGTCCATCCGGCCCGAGTATAACAGGAACAGGAAGGTCAAGGCCTGGAGGGAGCTGCTGCTCCGTGGAGACCCACTTTGGCCACGGGTGGTTCACTCTCCCCTTGGCCTCCCTGGCCTCTTGAGGCCACTGAGGGGAGTCCTGGAGGTCTTCGGTGGGCAGCGGCATTTGTGGGTCTGGGGGCTGGAGGATGCCTTCCTGGTCTTGGCCGTGGTGCGTGGTGCTCGCTGTCCTCTGTGGCCGCAGGCTCTGAGCACCCCGCGTGCTGCCCGGGCGCTTGCCTCCTGACCATGGGGGGAGGCCCTGGGAGGGGTGCCCACTGTCTCCAGGGCCACCTTGACTAGCGGGGCCTGATCTCTGTGTGCTCGACCAGAGGATGGAAGGCATGGGCCCCTGCTCTGGGCCTGCTGGCAGCTGGGGGACAGGAAGGGCCCCACTGCTGGGCTCTTCTCACCTTGCTCTGCCTGCGTTGAGCCCGTTCTTTTGGACAGAGGGAAGCAGGGAAGGGCACGGAGGAGCCTGCCTGCTGGGTTTGGAGAGCGAAGGGTTGGGGCCCTCGGGCCGCTCCTCCTGCTTGCAGGACGGGGTGTTTCCCAGCGCCTCTTCCCAGCTCTGGACGGGCTCTCGGCTGGTGGGAAGTGCAGGGGATTTGGCCGCAGCGTGGCCTTGTGAGGAGGCGTGTGTGGATGGGCCCAAGGTGCCGAGGAGCTGGGTGCACAGGGACCCCAGTGTCCCGCAGCGTGCCCTGCACCCCAGTTCTCGTGCTGTTCTGTTGCAGGGCCCAGCGGGAAGGGCAGGTCGGAGTCGCGGGGGTGGAGGTGGACGGTCCCTCGGCTATGGCGCACGGCACAGGACACAGGTGGTCAGAGAGGAGAGGTGCCGGACCACTGCCGGAGGCTTCGGGTAGGAGGCGGCATCTTAGCCGGCGGCAGGTCCCCGCGGCTGAGCAGGAGGGCCTCGGGCAGCGCCTCTGGAACAGCTCTCGGTAGCGTGGAGTCGGTTCCAGTTGCTGGGCTCAGGGGTCTCTTCAAGGAACAGCGTTTGTCCCAGGAAGGGGGTCTGGGCTTTATCAGTTGTTTCTTCTGTTTCAGTGACGTACGTGCCCCGTCAAACTTCTCATCTAAGGTAATGCTCTCAGTTCATCACTAAGACACTCGCGGTCCTGCAGCGGACGTTTCAGAACAGCTGACGCGGAGGTTCACATTGGCCACTGTGGCTCCATTTTGAACCATCTAACGTGTCTTCACAGCTCACATGTGTGTCACACGGGATGAGTAGGAATTATAACACAAAAGAAATCACATCATAGCACTTGCCCTCCGCCCGCTGCCCCACTTCCCATGCTGGGCTGAACAGTGAGAACCCCCATGCCCGTCCCACCAGTGCCAGTGCAGGGGTGGCTGAATTCTTTTTTTTTTGGGGGGGTACGTGGGCCCCTCACCGCCGCGGCGCCTCCCGCTGCGGAGCACAGGACCCGGACGCGCAGGCTTAGCGGCCATGGCCCACGGGGGCAGCCGCTCCGCGGCATGTGGGATCTTCCCAGACCGGGGCACGAACCTGCGTGCCCTGCATCGGCAGGCGGACTCTCAACCACTGCGCCACCAGGAAGTCTGGGGTGGCTGAATTCTTGCGTCGGGGGAGGCCAGGTGGCCTTGGGAGGTGTCTTTGTGGGCAAAAGCGAAGTCCACGTAGTGTGGTGAACGTTTGCTAAGTGCCCATGCCCGCCGGGATACTGGGCTCAGGGTGGGCGATGGGAGTGGCCCAGAAGCCCCCTGTGCCCCCTGCCAGTGGCTGGAGCGTCCCTACGGACACGGGGCCTCCCTGCCCAGCTCCAGGGCCTCTCTCGGCGCTTCCCTCTCGGAGCCTCAGCCTGGCCTCTGCTCCCGGTGTTGCCATCCCCCTCTGTGGCACCCCAGTGGCCTGACTGTAGAGTGGGGTGTGGTCCTCCTCCCACTGACAGGTGGGACCTTGGGCCCTCAGTCCCGCAGAGTAGCTGCCTGGCCCACCCTGGTGGGCCCCCTTCATTCTTCTGAGGGCAGACACGAGTGAACACTGGCCCGCCTGAGTCTACCCTGGGCACTGGCCAGCGACAGCATGACAGGTGGGGCCTGTACCCTGCCGTGGCTCACACTGACCCTCGGAGCTGTGACACGATGGGTGTGTTGTGTACCCTGCCCCAGCTGTGCTGTGCTGCTGGCGTTCGGGTCATGGGTGCAGGAGGCCTCAGGTGGGCCAGGGTCCAGACCCTGGGAGCGCTTGCGTGCGGCGCTGGCAGGGCGGGCGCTCTACTGGCCTGTGCTCCGCGGTAGCTCTGGGCTCCTGTCGGAGCTCCTGGCTCCACGGCAGCTGAGCCAGTGCCTGGGTGGATGCCGAGTCGTCCACACTGAATGGCCACGGGGCCCCTCCTTGCAGCGCAGCGCGCCGCTGGCGGAAACTTGGAAGTTAGGGACCAGCCTCCTGCTAACATTACTTCTGTAAAGTACAACATTTCATAGTTGAAAAAGCAGGATGTGCACGTTGTAGAAGAGAGGGAAGCGACATTACAAGTGAAAGCTGTTCCGGTGTCCCCACGTGGATTGTGTGTCTGTGACCCATCCTGGTGCGCAGGTGCTCCCTGACCTGGGGGAGCTGATGCCGCCCGGGAAGGGGCCGCAGGCTGCTCTTTGTCTAGACGGGCCCCCTCACATGGGCAGCTCAGCGAAGCTGGGGCCCCGCTGGGGGGACGTTGGCCTGCTGTTAGCCCTGGTTGTCTCCCACGAGGTGCACGGAGTGCCTCTATCCTGTGCTCCACACACTGGCCAGGAGGCCCTCCTGGCCACTAGGAGGGACAGGGGCCCCCCTGAGCCGCCTGCATGGGGGTGGCAATTTCTGGAGCTGTGTTCTCAGGTCGGTGAGGCCAGGCCCGGTCACCGGCAGGTGCTCCTCCCCTGTCACCAGGTGGGGTGGCCTGAGCACCTGCTCTGTCCTCTCCTCTCCTGCCATTCCAGAACCTTCCTCTGAGGGGGGACACTGGTCTTTGGCCTGTCCCGGGCTGAGTCCGAGGGGACTTGGTGCTGGGATGGAGAGAAGTGATACGCAGGCTTCAGGAGGGAGCGGACGGGACAGGCTCGACGTGGTGCCGCTGCCTCCTTGGTGCTGGCCAGCGTCCCCCTGAGTGTCCCCCGTCCAGCCTGGATGGCCCGTTCTCACGGGGTGTGTCTGTAATCGAGCGGGACCCATTGGGGCCTTGGGGGGGTGGGCAGACCCCTCTCGCACATCCTCTGCCGTAGCTCCTTTCTGAAGTGCCCAGGTAATAGTACCTTGAGCATATTTCCTGAGTTTTTCAGGTGCTAAAAACCACCACTAAGTGGAAGAAATTAACTACTTGATGACCCTGAGCACGTAGCCCCCAGACCTTCTGGTGCCCCATGTTAACCAGCCTGTTACCTCACCATCAACCAGTCAGAGAGCTGTGCACGAGCTGATCACATGCCCTGCCTCCCGCCTCTGTCACGGGGCCTTTAAGAATGCTTTGCTGAAGCTTTCAGGCAGTTTGGGGTCTTTTGAGCACAAACCACCCGTCTCCTTGCTTGGCCCTGCAAAACGCTTTTCTCTGCTCCAAGCTCTGACGTTTCCGTTGTTTGGCCTCGCTGTGTGTCGGGCACTTGCACTCGGTGCTTGGTAGCACGTCCGCAGGCGGGACCCTTCCACAGGGCTGGCTCAGACACCTGGGGACTTACCTGTGCCTGCTGTCCCAGAGTCCAGAGGATGGGCACTGGCCCATCTAGGTTGGCTTGAAGTGCCAGGGTCGGGTGGGTGTGGTCAGGACACTCAAGGGCTCTTCACAGGGCCCTCTCTCCTGTGAGTCTGAAAACTTCCATTAAAGCCACTGTGGAGCCAGGCCCTCCTGCTTTGGCTGGACATCCGTGTCCTTCTGCAGCCCTGGAGATGTCCAGAGACAGGATAGAGCACCGCCCCGGGCAGCCGTGCTGCCCTCACGCAGCCCTGACCGCAGTCCTGGGGACGTGGTGGCCCTGCCCAGATACCGCCTCCTTCTTAAGGCTGGTCCGCCTGGCCCGCTGCCCCTCACTGTCCCATTGAAGGGCTTTGCCAGCCTTGGGGGTTGGGCTTGTTGGGCTTTTGGAGCTTCCAGATGCCCTCGGGGTCCCTGGTGGGATGCTGAGGCGAGCAGACCTGAGGTGCCCTGGCCCCGCAGTGCCCGTTCCCGCTTGTTCCCTCCCGTGCCCCTGGGGGCAGCGTCTGTTGACCGCCCTGGGCCAGAGGCTCCCCGGTTCTCGGGCTTGCAGCCTCCGCGAGACTGAAGCTTCCCAGTCCCCTGGGCCTCACAGGGTCAGCGTGCCGGGTCCCATTTCCTGGGCTGCTGGGCAGGGGTCCTGGGTGGCGCGGGGAGGGTCCCGACCTGCGTGCCAGCCTGCCGCTCGTTCAGATGCTGCATGCGCTTACGGTTCTGTCAGTCTCTGCGGGTCGTAGACTCTTTTCTTTTGAAATTATTTCAGAATCAGGAGCAAGGCAGAGAAGACTTCTCCCTGGATCTCTGAGGGCGGGTGCGAGGCTCCCGTGTGAGGCGCCTCTGCTGCCTCCTGCCGCTGCTGCCCTTGCTGAGGCTCCTGCCCCAGACATGCTGCCCTCACCCCACTGGCAGTTGGGCCCCGCGCTGGCCCGGGGACATCCCCTCCCTCACCCACAGTCCCACGGCCGCTGACGCCTGCAGGGCGCCTGCCATGCAGCCCCTCCCTCCCGTCACCCTCCTGCACACCTGCCCGCATCCCGCCGACCTGGCACAGGGTGGCTGATGGCCCTGCGCCTCCCCTTCCTGCTGGGCTGAGAGGTCGGGGTGAGTGGGGAGGAAAGCAGGCCAGCTCCAGACACGGCCGCAGCGTGTGGGATCTGACTCTTGGGAAAGGGGTTAGATCCCCGTGGGAGTCACGGGTTACGGGCGTTTACAGGGGATCCTGAACTGACAAGTCCAGCTGACCAGGAGCGCCGCCCTGACGGAGCTCGTCTCTGCGCTGTTTCTCCTTAGACGCCGTGGGTGTGTTGTACCAGCTCGGGAATCTGCGGGACGGTCGGATCCTGTACAGAATGCGCCCCGGGTGGAGCGTGGCCTGGGCTTAAGCCGCGTTACCTCTGGGGAAACCAGCTAAGGCCCAGCGAGCGGGGCAGCCTGGTGTCGCTCTGCCTGGGGGGCCTGGTGTCCCGCAGCCGGGGCCAGGCGTGATGGCCGGGCACCCTGAATAGCTACACCTGTGTGCACACCTTGGGCTCCTGGCTTTGTCCTGCTCACCCTGTGTTCTCTGTCCGCAGGTGCCAAGGCCAAGGCTGTTTTGCCCAAGAAGGAGAAGCTGAAGCTGAGGCGTGAGAGGTGGCTGCAGAGTAAGCTCCCCCTGTCCCTGGCGGGGCCCTGTCCCTGGTGGGCCTTATCCCTGGTGGGGCCTTGTCCCTGGAGGGGCCCTGTCCCTGGCGGGGCCTTATCCCTGGTGGGCCTTGTCCCTGGTGGGGCCCTGTCCCTGGAGGGGCCCTGTCCCTGGTGGGGCCTTGTCCCGGGCTGGCTCGGAGCCCGCTTTGGGTGGTCCAGGGCCCTGGAGGAGGGGGCCTGCGATGTGACAAGTAGGCGGCCCCGCGGGGGGAGGGGCTGGCCCTGTCACCTGTACAAGTGTCCACAAGGCCTTGCCTCAACCCCGACCTCCCCCACCGGGAACGTCGCAGGAAGCTGCTTCTCCCGTGGAAAGCGTTGCAAAGGGAGTGCGTGCGGGTTGGGTGTTTTATGATACCTACGAAATTTCCCACTTTCTGGTTCTGCGTGTGTTCCTCCAGGCCCTCTTCCGGGCGTGTGACAGTACAGGGTCCCCAGCAGAGGCGGCTCTTCACCCACCTGGTGGGGTCAGGGACCCCGGGCCTCCGCTCTGCGGGGGTTGGTGGCTCCCTCCTTTCCGAGCACCTGTCTGTGGGGTGGATTTCTTCTTATTAATTTTGCTTAGAAAAGATACTTATATTTCTTGATGCTGAATATCTGCTGATTTTTTCTAAAGATTTTCTTGTGAAGATTGTTTTGAAATTTTTTTCTTACAGTTGTCTTTTTAGTGTTTTGCTGACTTTTAAAATTAATTTGAAATGGTTTTTTCTTTATGTTCTCACACAGAACATGATTTGCATTATTTTATTTATTTATTTATTTTGCGGTACGCGGGCCTCTCACTGTTGTGGCCTCTCCCGTTGCTGAGCACAGGCTCCAGACGGGCAGGCTCAGTGGCCATGGCTCACGGGCCCAGCCGCTCCGCAGCATGTGGGATCTTCCCGGACCGGGGCACGAACCCGTGTCCCCTGCATTGGCAGGCGGACTCTCAACCACTGCGCCACCAGGGAAGCCCTCTGCATTATTTTTTCCTTGATGGTTTTAAAGAAACTGTATACTTTTAATTTTTTAGAGAAATTTATCAATTTCTTCCACAATTGTTAATTTTAAGTTTTCTTTCACATTTTGAATGTTTCTTAAGGAAATGATTCATTCATCCATCTTTTTCACAGTCCCTAGCATGGAGTTGTGCAAAATATTCTTTGTAAAATGGATTTGGAAAAGTTAATAGGCCGGGAGCACTGGGGCCCTGAACGTTCCTGGGCTACAATTTTTTTTTTTTCGCGGTACACAGGCCTCTCACTGTTGTGGCCTCTCCCGTTGCGGAGCACAGGCTCCGGACGTGCAGGCTCAGCGGCCATGGCTCACGGGCCCAGCTGCTCCGCGGCATGTGGGATCTTCCCGGACCAGGGCACAAACCCATGTCCCCTGTATCGGCAGGTGGACTCTCAACCACTGTGCCACCAGGGAAGCCCATGGGCTACAATTTTTTGAAGACGTTTAAGTTTTCTTCCATGATGGTTGGTCTTTTTCTAACTACTTGAGTTAATCTTGGTCACTCATTTTCCTATAAAAACATCTAATCTAATCAGATTTCAACATTTATTAGCAGAGTTGTTGGCTTCTCATTATTTAATATCCTGTTTATCATTCTTTACTTGTATCCCCTTCTCTAATTTCTGGTTAATTTTGTCTCTTCCATGCCAAGAGTTCTTGTATGTAGTTGTCACTTCTACTCTTCCTTTTTCCAAACTGTTAGTTTCTATTTTTTTAGTACCCCATTCTTGGTTTCTTTAGGTTTGTTTTAGTGACGTATTTATTTTTGTATGTTTTGTTTAGGAATGAAAGGCTGCATGTCAGCCTCTGAACATAGCTTTAGCTACGTCTCCGCAGTTGATTTTACTTAGTATTTCATTACGAAAAGTTTTGCATGGAGAAGTAGGAAGAATTTGACAGTGGGCGTCCTTATGCCCACCACCCACGTTTTACAATGAGCACCTCACTTCTTTATCACATGTCTGTTCATCTGTCTATCCAAACACCAACCCATGTTTTAGCTACGTGTTCCAAAGTCAGTTACAGACTTCAGCACGCTTTCTCCCAAATAATTCCACTGGAGTTCAATATTTGCTTATGGTTCTTTTTAGTTTTTATTGTTAGGTAAAATTTACATGCAATGAAATGCAAATCTTAAGTGTGCTGTTCAGTGATTTATGACAAATGCCTACACCTGTACAACCAGAATCCCTTTCAAGGTGCAGACCATCACCATCACCCAGAAATGCCCCGCGCCCCTTCCCAGTCCCGACTCCCCCCGAGGTAGCCACCGTCTGGTCTTTTTCAGGCAGAGTTTAGGTTTTGCTGCTCTAGACATCGTATAAAAGGAGTCATGTAGGATGTGCTCTTTCTGTGTCTGGGTTCTTCTGCTCAGCTTGGCATTGGGCTCGTCCGTGCTTCGTGTAGCCGTAGTCTGCACCCTTCTGTTGCTGAGAAGTGTTTCTTTATGTGGACGTACCGTTTGGTGTCCACTTTCCTATGGATGGACACCTGGTCTGTTTTCTCTTTTTAGCTGCTGTGAATAAGGCTGCTATGCACATTCTCTACAAGTCTTTTTGTGGACATATGTTTTCATTTCTCTTGGGTAAACACTTGGAATGGAATGCTGGGTCATAGGGCAGGTGTATGTTTAGTTTTATAAGCAACCGCCAGACGTCTCTCTGCTGTGGCTGTACGTTTACGCCCCCAGCAACGTGGGAGAGTTGTGGCTGCTCCACGGCTGTGCCGGCACGTCTGTCCCTGCAGTCCTAGCTGCTGAGCGTGAGGTGCCCGTTGTCATGGTGGATGGGCATTTTCACGTGCTGCTGCCCCTTGGGGCGCCCTCTGAGGCCCAGGGTCTGTTTCATGAGGCCCTTGCTGGGCTCTTTATTGTTGAGCTCAAGGAGTTCCTCCGTCCTGGAGACCAGTCTTGTCAGGTGTGTTTTGCAAATAATTTTCTCCCAGACTGGGACTTGCCTATTTAATTTCTTAACAGTTTTTCTTTTTAATGAACAGAAGTTTAATTTTGAGGAGGCTGATTTGTCTTTTCTTCCTTACGGGGCTAGTGTGCGTCTTGTTTAAGAAAATGGCCCAGTCCCAAGTCAGGCAGATAAATCCTACTCTTCTAAAAACTTTGCGGTTTTGGCTTTTTCGTTTAGGTTTGTAATCCATCTTGAATTAATGTTTGTGGTGTGAAGTCCTGGTTCAGGTTCTTCTTTTTTTTTTTTTTTTTCCCAGTTCCAGCACAATTTGTTGTAAAGACTTTTCTTTCCTCATCAGTTTTGTGTCTTTGTGAAAAGTCAGATGGCCTCTCAGTACCAGGCTGTCTCAATTGTGCAGCTGTGAAGCAGGTCTTGGCGTCAGATAAGGGAAGTCCTGTGTCCCAGGTCCTCCGTTTCAAGACTGCTTTGGGTGGTCCAGGTTCATAGCCTTTCCATATGAATTTTATCACAGGCTTGTCAATGTCTTGAACGTCACCACCACCAACACAACCTATGATAGCAATGACAGGGATTGCTCTGAGTCTATAGGTCAGTTCAGGAGAATGGCCATTTTAACAGTATTGGGTCTTCATCCATGAGCGTGGTGTCTCCCCTTTTATTTACGTTCTCCTTAGTTTCTGTCGTCAGTGTTCGTGGCTCTCAGAGCAGAGGTCTTAGGTTTGTGGGGTTTGGATAAGCTCATTGCTGTTTGACAGTTTTTGAAGCTGTTATAAATGAAATTCACAAAAGCTTCATTTTCCGGTTTTCTGCTATTTATTATATTATTAATTAATTACTTATGAATGATTATTAATCTTGTATCCTCTGGCCTTGCTAAAATTGTGTTGGTTCTGGTAGTTATCCTGGAGATTCCTTAGAATTTTCTGCATAAATGATCATGCTACTAAAATAGAAACAGTTTTACCACTTTCTTTTCAAACTCTGTTTTATGTCGTCTTCTCATCCTACTGCAGTGGCCGGAACCTTTGCAGTGTTGCTAGAAGGGGTGAGAATTGGTCCCAGTCTCCACGGGCTGAGGACTGGGCCGTGGTCAGTGTCCCGTGAGCCAGCGTTGCTCAGGGTCAGTAACCCCAGGCCGGGACAGTGCATAAAGGTAGTGGTCCCCACGCGAGCTCTGCTTCGGGCCCTGTTTATAAGGAACTTCCCTTCGGTTTCTTACAGGTCAGCAAATGTGGGCCAGGAAGCAAGGAGAAAATGACCAGGATGGCTGGGCCTTCAGGGATCTGGCCCGCCCTCCTGGGCAGCACGTAGAAACACAGGTTTCAGCACATAAAAATTGCCCACGTTCAGCATCCCACACGCCAGTGAAATTGTCTCATTTGTAGTATTCAGTTCTTGCGTAGGTAATTTTTAGGAGTAGCGGGAGGGAGGGACCGCCCCCCCCTTTACCCAGGATGGCTGGTCGCAAAGCCTGCTCTTCGAGTTCCCACCTCCCTGACGCCTCCTTGTCGGAATTTCCCTCGTTTCATAATTTGCTCTAATATCCGGTAGGCCAGCTCTCTTGTTTCTTGTTCTTTTTCAAAAATGTTTTGGCTATTCTTACACATTTAGTGTTTTTAAAAAATAAGGTTTGGAATTAGATCCCAGGTTCAGTTACAGGCCCTGTTGGAGTTGGAGCTGCGTCAGACCTGAGGCCGGTGTGGGAGCCGCGCTCGCGCCCTCCCTGGGCTCGGGGCCGCCTGGCCAGGTTGGCGGGGGTGTCCGCCATCCCTTCTGTGGCCTGCTTCATCAGAGAGTCTGCCTGATGTACACAAGATGTGGAATTTCTGGTAGATGATCTCTCTCAAATTAAGGAAGTTCCTTCTGTTCTTGGTTTCACTGTAACCTTTACCCTGAGTGGACAGTGAATTCTGTCAGACTCTTCGGGCACTTCTGTGGTGACTGTAGTCTCTCTCTTTGAAGCAGCAACTGCAGTGGCCACCCGGCACGTGTCCCTGTGCTGTGCTGTCCTTGCACGTGCTTCGGATGCGTCCTAGGTGGACCCCGCGCGCTTTGAACCTAAAAGGCTCTGGCTCTGACTTGCTGGCGTTCGCCTCCGTCCTCCTGTGAGCTGGGCCTGCTTTGCCTGGTCCCCCAGCTTGGGCGCCGGGCCGGCACCCTGTCCCTTCCCCTGCCTGAACCCCCCCGACCCCCTGCTACTGCCTCGGCCCTCCTGGGAGCCAGGGCTCTGGGAGGAGTCACCCGGCTTGATGAGGTACTGAGTAGATTGTTATCCTGTCAGCATGGAGAGTACTGAATTGTCACCCTATACATCCTAACATCCCTGGCATGGAGGGGTGGCCCGGGGCCCAGGGCAGGAGGACCCGGGAGGACGGGCGGTCTTCGTCCCCAGAGCTCAGCTCTTTGGGGTGAGTTGAGGGTCCCCTGGACTCTCCCAGTCTGGGTGCAACTGGGGGGGGTGTGTCCCTGACTTGGCTTGTCCAGGTGGCCTTTCCGAGCTTCTCTGGGCGGCGCGGGCCTTCGAGGGTGGACTCCGAGCTTGGGGACGAGCTGCTCCTGCCAGGCCTCCCACGCACCTTGTTTCCAGAAAGTGTTCTCTTTTGGAAATGCCTGTTAAGGGTCGCTACACATCTCTCACTTCTCATACACCTCCTGGGGCTTGGGTGGACCGGGGCCAAGCCGAGTGCACGCATGTTCTTTGTACTAATAATCGGTGGTGGGCTGTCCTGAGTCTGTCCTCGCTCGTGGGGCCCCCGTCCAGGTCCCCGTCCTCCTGGCCTGCCCCGTGCCTGGTGTCATCACCGCCCTTCTGGGTGCCGTGCCCGCCGCCATCGCCTCCTGCACCTGCCCCGAGGGGTGGCCGGGCGGCCACAGCGCCTGAAGGACCGGTTGCAGACTCACAGCCCCTCGGGAGGGAGACGCCCCGCGCCGGGCCACCTGGGCCGCGGCTGGCGCTTCTCTGCTGGCGTCTCCAGGCCTCTGTCGGCTGGGCTGTGCGTCTGTCGGCTGCTTGTCAGGAAGGTGCTCTCAGTTCCCTTTTTAGATGTGATTCAGAGTCTGCAGCCTGGTTATTTATAGCCCAATAAACCTCGTGCAGTTGGGAGGCAGGAGAGCCTCTCAGGCTCCAGTCTGATTGTCCCAAATCTATCACATCAGAGCCTCATTTCCAAGCTTTTTAGTAGCAGAGCCTTTTTTGTTTTTTTAAGGAATCTAATGCAGAACAATCAGCAAATCAATTGTCACAGATTCAGGCAGTTTCCCTGGAGCAAGGTCTGCACACAAGCTAGTGAGCTGGTGTTTGCCACGAGCCACACTGGGGAAATCGTGCATTTGAGTACGTGTTTTATTAGCAATTTTGAAATACATGTATTTTAAAATGAAAGTCAGATCCTGAGGCCACGTCCCCGTCCAGGCCCTGCCGAACCCCTTCTCTGTAGAGGCCGCAGCCCTGCCGGCCGCCACAGCCTCACCCCGGTGGCTCGTCCGTGCCCTGCCCTCTGCTCGGCACCCTGGGCCCCCGGGCCGCGCCGCCCCCTCCCCAGGGTCTGTCCCAGGCCCCCCCACCAGTGCAGGAGCCCCCTCGAGACCCCGCGGTGCATGTTTCCTCTCGCTTTGGACCTGGCCACTCGCACCCTGTTGCCTTGTTGGGGACCCTCCTGCCTGCTGACGTCTCCCGTGGGGACCTCTTTTTCCCTCCTGGGCGTGTCCCTAGGAGGCACAAGGGAAGCAGAGCGGGAGGGGCCGGCCGCTCTGCCTGTGCGGCCCCTCCCTCCGCCCGCCCCGCTCCCCGAAGCCGGCCGGCCTTCCCAGGGGCCGCTCCCCGCCTGAGCCCGTCTCCTCATCAGCCTGTAATTCGACAGCCACCTCCGGGATTCAGGGCAGCAGACCGCTGGCAGCCAGCCCGCCCCCGGGGTCCGGGCCGAGCTCGGGCTCTGTGGGCTGGGAGTCGGGACCCTCTGTCGCTGAGGGCGGCGGCCGGGCGCTTGTCCTCCTGGGTCCCCTCTCGCTGACCCCTTATCCCCCTTCCTCAGAGATCGAAGCCACAAGGCTGGCGGAGCAGGAGCGCAAGGCGGAGCAGAGGCGCAGGGCCACGGTGGTGGTAGGGGACCTGCAGCCCCTGCGGGACGCCCTGCCCGAGCTGCTGGAGCTGCAGATGGGTGGCCAGCGGTGAGTGTCCTGGCCACGGGGCCGCCGCCTTGTCCAGGGCGGGAGGACGAGCAGGTGGGTGGCTGGGCTGGGCACTGACCCCGGAGAGGCCCGTCTTGACTTGGACACCCTTGTCCCAGGCCCAGCCGTGAGCCAGGGGCCCTGGGTCCTCCTCGGGGGCGGGAGCCCGGTGGCACGTGGGCAGCACTGTTGCTCTCCCGCCGCGTGGCCAGAGCCGCTCAGCCGGGCCGCCGCCGGGCTCCGTGCTCTCCTGCTTGTCTCCCGGCAGCCGCAGCTGCTGCCTTTGCTGCCTGCCTCCCAGGACCTGCCGTCCTCTTGGGGCCCTTCCTGCCTCCCTGAGTCCTGTGTGCTTTAGGAGAGCACGTCCCTCTGCTGTGCCCGGGCTGCCGTTTCCGAGCAAGGGTGAGGCCGCCTGGCCTGGCTGGGAGGCGCCAGCGCAGGTGTGACCACGACCTCAGCCTTAGGGCAAACGGGCAGCAATTGGAGGGCCTTTCTGTTCTGTCACGGTTGCTGGACCGCCGTCGTTTACTGTGTTGTCTCTCATTTTGCCTTTTTGAAATAATTCTTTCTCCTACCGAATTCCCCTCTGAGGGGGAAGGATCCGGGGTTGGCAGGGGACATGCCCAGGGCCCCTTGGCTGCAGAGCCAGATGGTCGGTCCAGGCCGGTTCCAGGATGGAATCGCCCAGAACATCAGGTCCAGACAAGGAGTGGCCACCAGAGCTGAGATTTGGCGACAGAACCAGAACCCAAAATGCACATTCCATTCCTGGTTCTTGAACAAAAATGTGACCCGGTCAAGCATCCTCTCTCTCCCTGCTTTTAGTTTTCTCATCTGAAAAATGTGCTCGGGGCTCCCCGAGGGGAGAGAGCTGCGTAAACACCGCGGCCAGCAGCCCGAGGAGGGCCGCGTGGGGCTGCGGGGGCCCAGCTGCTCTCCCAGCCCCAGCCTCCGGTCGACCGGGGTCACCGTTTCCCCGTCTAGTGCATCTTGGCACTGGGGAGCTGTTCGTTTAAGTAAACATGATTTTAGGGCAGTGTTTGAATGTAAATAGAAAAATGACGGAGAAAATACCGACAGTTCCAGTGCAACTTGCACGCGGCTTCCTTTCTGTGACGTCTTACATCAGCGTGTGCGTTTGTCACAATTAAGGAACCAACACTGATTTATAAGTAATAAGCTTAAAATAATAATTGACTAAAAGCTCACAGTTTATTCACACTTCCTCAGTTTTCCTTGGTGTTCTTCTGCTGTCCCAGGACCGCATCCAGGACCCCACATGGCATGTAGTCATTGTGTCCCCTCAGAGCTCCTCTGGGCTGTGACAGTCTCTCAGACCTTCTTGTCTTTTTTTTTTTTTAATAAATAAATAAATAAATTTATTTATTTATTTATAGCCGTGTTGGGTCTTGCTGTGCGGGCTTTCTCCAGTTGCGGTGCGCGGGCTTCTTATTGCGGTGGCTTCTCTTGTTGTGGAGCACGGGCTCTAGGCATATGGGCTTCAGTAGTTGTAGCACGTGGGCTCAGTAGTTGCGGTGCACTGGCTTAGTTGCTCCGCGGCATGTGGGATCTTCCCACAGCAGGGCTCGAACCCATGTCCCCTGCATTGGCAGGCGGATTCTTAACCACTGTGCCACATGGGAAGTCCCAACCTTCTTGTCTTTAATGACCTTGACAGTTTTGAGGACCAGTCAGGCATTTTTCAGGATGTCCCTCAGTGAAGACCACAGAGGGGAAGGGCCTGTCTCATCACGTCCCCTCCGGGGTGCGTGCTGTTACATAACCCGCACCGTGGACGCTGACCTTGGTCACCTGGTGCAGATGTGTCTGTCAGGTCTCTCCGCTGTGCAGCTGCTCCCCCCTTCCCCACTGTCCTCTGGAAGGAGGTCGCCGTGCACACCCCGCACCCAAGGAGGCGGGACGCTCCCCTCCCCTCCCCGAGGATGGAGTGTCTGCAGAACCACGTGGATTCTCCCGCAGAGCAGATTCCCTCTTCCCCCGTTTCCTTATCAATCACTCATTTATGTCCGTTTGCACCCATGGGTGTTTATTTTATACTTCGGGCCATGATCCAATACGACTTTGTTCTGTTGCTGAACCGGCTCCAGCTCTGGTCCCTGGCAGCTCCTTCGGTTGGCTCCGCTGTCCCCCCGACACACCCATCCATGGAGGCTGTTGTGTTTTGTTTCCGAGCACTTTCCTCCCTCTCTGGCACGAGGTGCTCCAGGCTCATCCCGGGCATTTCCTGCTCCTGTCCGAGAGTCGGCGTTTCTCCAGGGAGCCCGGCTCCCTTCCGTTGGAAGTGGTGTGAGAAACCAAGATCTGGGCGCTGGTGTGCCGACCGCGGCTGCGGTGTGCTTCTTCTAGGCCCTCTCAGCTGACAGCAGGGACATGCGTGCGTGTCCTGACCCAGGTGTGTTCCTGTGAAATTCGGGGAACAGTCAGTCCATCCTCACTTCTCATGCCGACCACAAGTCTGGGGTCCCCAAGATCACTCTGAGGTTTGATGATTCTCACAAAGGCCACTACACTCAGTTACAGTTTATTACGGAGAAGGAATACAGATTAAATCAGCCGGGGGAGGAGACCGTGGGAGGGCCCGGGAGCGTTCCAGCCTTCCCTCCCTGTGGGGCCAGCACAGAGGTCTTGCCCAGGACGTGCAGGGACCCCCACCTGTCTCCACCCCTGGGGGGCATGGGCGAGCAGGCCGGCATGGTTTGCCTGTGGTCCCTTCACTCCATTCCTGTGGCCTTCTGGCCAAGTGACACCTGGCTGGGAGCCCCCAGCCCCATTCACAAGACTGGGGTCCCCATGTCATCAACCCTCAGTCTTTCAGCTCCTAGAGCAGACCCAGCCCTGGGATGTTTGCTGCACAAAGTGTTTGGCCTCTTCTGTGTCTTCACAAGGGCAGGGTTTCCTGGAGCTGAGAGAAGGCGGTGCCCTTCAGGGCAGCTCACGCCAGGGGTGCCTGCTACAAGCAGCAGGTTACACGAATGGCCCAGCTGACAGGTGACTTCCGGACGTGCCCCCAGGCATCCGAGTTGGGTGGAATGTGTTGGGGGCAGCCTCGTGCCTGGGAACCCAGATCCCGAGTGCAAGGCCTCCGTCCCCAGTTGCCATCTGGGACACCCTGACTGAGGCCCTGGGCTGCTCCCAGCCTGTCCCAAACCTGGGTGGCCCTGCAGGGTGGCGGGGGGAGAGCCCGAGGCTCTGAGTGGGCCCAGCGGGTCCAGGTGTTCCCCACACTCCGGGTGGGCGCTGCCCAGCACTGACGGGGCACCAAGGCCCCCTGGAGAGCCCGCGGGGCCCCTGAGGCCAGAGCCGGTGAGTGGGCAGTGCCGCTGCCAATGGGCCGCGCTCATCAGGGAAGATTAGACTCCCCAGGACGTCGGTCCTCCGCGGCCCGAAGGTCGTAGCGGACGAAGGTGGAGGGCCTCACGCGTGGAGCCTGGACCTGACGTCAGCAGGGCTCACTCGGCCCCTGGGGCCTCCGGGGTTCGTCCGCTGGTGCTTGGTTTTAGGCCCCCGTCCCCTTGGGCTGGGTGTGATACATGGGCTCCTTCACGTCAGAGGGGGAGGGGCAGGGAGTGGCACAAGAGCCTCAAAGCTGGGAGCCACCTGGGCGCACCTGGGCGCTCAGTGCCGCCGAAGAGAGCCTGTCAGGAACGCACTGGCCTGTCCTACAGTTGGGGAAACAGGCTTCGAGGTGGGGCAGCTTCCCTGAGGTTCCTCCCAGGGCAGCCAGGGCTGGGGTCCTCTTTCAGCCCAGGCACCTCCGTGGACACTTGGGCGGCGGGCAGTGTGCTCTGAGCTGCAGTTGGTCCTGGCAGGAAGGTCTCTATCCCTGTCCACCCAACTCGGCCGTGCGGTCAGAGCCAGGCCTGGCCACCGTAAGTGAGCTGGGGCCCTCCCCGGGGGGACTTCAGAGCGGGCAGGCAGGACCGGGGCCGGCGTCGGGTGTGAAAGCCCTTGCCCGGGCCGCTGGGGTGAGTGCTGGGGGTCAGTTCCTTTCAAGCCCGCGGCCGCGGCGAATCCACCCCGCCTGCATCTGTCCACAGTGGAAAACACCACTGGGGAGGGTCCTGCCTCCCACTGTGAGTGGCCTGACAGGCCCTGGGCGTGCCCTGAGGCTCGGGCGAGGGTCCTGCCCTTCCTTGCCCCCCAGCCGTGCCCCCACTGCACTGTGCTTGGCTGCATCTGGACCCTGGCCCCGAGGGAACTCCTGGGTGTGTGTTCACACCTTGGTGCCCTCAGCCGGCCGTGGGAAGCCTTTTTACCTTGTGCTAGACGGGGGTGGAGGCCCAAGGCCTCCTGATGCCCCAGCGCGTGGCTGCCTCCTGGGGGTGCTGGCTGGGGGAAGGGAGCCCGGGCCCACCGGTTCGGCAAGGGTGGGGCCTCCCGGGAGCTCTGGGTGGTCGGCGGGGGACTGCTTTCGGGTGGACACAGAGGGTGTCAGCGGTCGGACGAACAGGGCCGCAGTGTCCTGGGACCGAGGCTGGCCTGGAGTGGGACGGAGCGCCCCCAGAGCGGCCGGGACCCGGGGAGCGGAGACAGGAAACGCCTTTCATTCATAACTTACGAAGAAACTTGAATACACGATGAGGGCTCCCGGTCTGGAGGCTAAATTTAGGTGTCGACCCAGGATTTCCTGGTTTTCTGGGCCCTCCCCCCCTGCCGGGTCCCTCCTGCCGTGTGGCGCCGTGAGGCCGCACGTGCCCCCAGGCCCCCAGGGAGGAGAGCCCTGTGTGCACCATGGACCGTGGCCTGAGTCAGGTGCTCTGCTGGAGGTTCCAGGTGGGTGCATGCTCTCCTGACTGTCTTCTCTGTGTCCCCAGCAGAGCGGCCATCAGGCCCCGGG